GCCACTGACTTCTGTGCATTGATTTTATATCCTGCCACTTTGCTGAATTCCTGTATGAGTTCTAGCAGTTTTGGGGTGGAGTCTTTGGGGTTTTCCACATGAAGTATCATATCTCATGCACACATTTTTGACCCTGAAGTTATGCATACAAATACCTTCATTCTGGGCACCCTTGAGTTATCTAGAGTTTCAGTGTTGTTGAGGATGTCTGATTACTCTGGTGTCAGATATAGCAATTTGGCAGAAGTTTGGATTTGTAAACTGACCAGGCTAGGCTAAGAGAGGGTGTAGGTGTGAATGTGTAAGCATGTATTGTTATTATAGATGAATATTAACTTACCAGAGATCATACTAATCTGTCCCAATAACAACTTATATACAAGTGTGAATCTATAAGAATTCTTTCCACAGTAACTCTTTATTGGATGTCTTATGAGTAATTGAAGAATTGAGTTCAATATTTTATCTTTTTTGGTTTGGTCACCTATTCTGGAAATTTTGTGTGTGTGTTTTCTGTCCTCCCTTTAGCTTTACTGAAAACTTTTTACTATAGCTTCTCAAACTGTTACTCTTAGGACATCACTACTCCCGTTATTGAACATTTCAAAAAGAGTGAAAAAGTTAGTGATACAATGCTACAAAAATTGAAGCACTTCCATCTTAAAAAGAAAGATTTAGATAAAGAGGTACTGTATTTTTTCTTTATTCTAAAAATTGTATCATTTTTGGTGAAAAAAATAATCAAAGAAAAAGGTGACATAAAAGTATAAAGAAATTCTCCAAATTTGGATTTTTTTGAAGAATTGTTTTTGGCGGGGCACTTGGGTGGTGCAGTTGGTTAAGCATCTGACTCTTGGTTTCCACGCAGGTCATGATCTCAGGGTCATGAAATTGAGACCCGCGTCAGGCTTCTTGTTCAGCTCGGAGTCTGCTTGAGATTCTCTCTTCCTCTCTCTCTGCCCCTCCTGCTCATTCTCTCTCTCTTTCTCTAAAATAAAAGGTGATACCAGGTTGTTAACTTGTGCCAGTTTTAATGTGAGAGGAATACAGAAGTGGCAAGTTTATCAGCTAATGGAATAAAAATGTATTCAAATATGGGATCTTGGATCGTAGAAACAAATTCAGTCCTATGTTATGAGGAAATTACTTCTCTGAACTGAGGTGGATAGAATATTTGTTGCAGGTAGTCCAGGGAGTCTCTTTGTCTCCTAGTTAACCTGATCAAGGAATAACAGATACACAGAGAAACTACTGTCCTCCATTTCTTAAACCAGCCTTCAAAAATAAGCCCCATTGAGGGTTGGAGCATGATGTTATAGAAATAAAATTTCAGATATTTGTGTTGTTGTTTGAAATACTGGCAGGTGATATGATGTGGTGTCTGTAATTTGACTCTGTGAAGGGGGATTGGAGGGAGGAGGACATGGTTGGGGGTATAAATGATACAAAACTGGCCAGTAGCCATCAATAGTCGAAGCTGGGTGATAATTACATGGAGGTTCGTTCAGTTTTTTTCTCTATTTTTTTAAATATTAGAAATTGTTGGCGTGCCTGGATGGCTCAGTCGGTTAAACATCCAACTCTTGATTTCAGTTCAGGTCGTGATCTGAGGGTCGTGAGATCGAGCCCCAAGCCCTGCGTAGGGCTCCACACTCAGTGGGGAGTTTGCTTCTCCCTCTCTCTCTCTCTCTCTCAAATAAATAAATAAATCTTTTAAAAAATAAATATTGGCCGGGTGCCTGGGTGGCTCAGTCGGTTAAGCATCTGCCTTTGGCTCAGGTCATGATCCCAGGGTCCTGGGATCGAGTCCCACATCGGGCTCCCGGCTCAGCGGGGAGCCTGCTTCTCCCTCTGACCCTCCTCCACTTGTTCTCTCAATCTCTCTCTCTCTTTCTCAAATAAATAAAATCTTAAAAATAAATAAATAAATAAATAAATATTGGAAATAGTTCATAATAAAAATAATTCTGTGCATCACACTTTACCTCACTGCTTTTTGGAGAAATTTGAATATTGAATATTAAAACTTATTGTTATTTTCATGAAGGAACAAATGAACAAATAAGAAATGATTATAAATTACATCTAGGAAAAGTTGGTAGGTTTTTTTTTTTTTTCTTTACAGAAGAATTCTGAGAGCCTAACTGTAAAAACAACTGAATATTGGGGTAAGCTCCCGGAGATCCCAAGCCCGCGCTCAGGTTCCATGATCTGCTAGCACCCGTGGGGCTGCACATACGGTCAGAGTCGCAACTCGGTGTCATCGTGAGAAGCCACAGGGCAAAGTCAGCATAGGGAAAAGGGGCTTGGGGCACAGTCCAGAGGAAATCAGATTCAAGCTGCCAAGAGCCCCTTCATAGTGGAGTCACACAAGATGCACTTCATTTTCCCAGCAATGAGCTGTGACAATATGTGTGAAATTTTTCCAGGGTCTCATTAGGGATCCAGCACCCAGGGTTTTTATTGCGGGCTGCTCACATAGGGATGTCACCCTAGCACGTACTAAAACTCTGGACCCTCCGGAAGGAAAGAGGCGTTCAGTATGAACGACACTCTCTGTACAAAAGGTTAGGCACAACGAGCCATTCAGAGTACAAAATGATGGAACTCCTCCTGCATCCACGTTCCCAGATGCCAGTCAGGGGGCAGCATGATGAGCAGGCCTTCCTGAGGACTCTCAGATCTGCCATCTAAACTCCCTTCTGTACAAGAGCTGTAAAAACAGTAGATCTTTGGAGACCAGAGACTAGACAGTGCATGGTTCGATGATCTTACTATAAATGTTATCGAATGTACTTTTATCTCTTCTCCTTTTCTGAAATATAAAACTCTTTTTTCCTCAGTTCCTGGAACATAAAGACAGAATCACAGCTTTTAGAGAGTTAATTGCAAAAGAAAAAGCATTTCAAGATCAGGTTATCAAGGTAAGTTTAACATTTACCGTGTACTGTCTTTTTTTTTTTTTTAAAGATTTTATTTATTTATTTGAGACAGAGAGAATGAGAGAGAGAGCACATGAGAGGGGGAGGGTCAGAGGGAGAAGCAGACTCCCCGCCGAGCAGGGAGCCCGATGCGGGACTCGATCCTGGGACTCCAGGATCATGACCTGAGCCGAAGGCAGTCGCTTAACCAACTGAGCCACCCAGGCGCCCTTACCGTGTACTGTCTTTAACATGCAAAATTACAATTTCTTTTGGCTTATTTGTTGAAATCCTTCTAGCTCCAAGTTCTACACTTCTATTATTCTAGCCACTGAAGAGCTCTTTGACTGTTAAACTTATAAAGTATTTATTGTCAGATCTCCCGAGGAATGTGAAAGTATTGGAAGTGAGCACAAATATATTTAATCTCAGGTTACAAGTTTGGATTCAGATGAAGCCAAGAATATTAGAGATGTGCCTGTCTTATTGGGAGTCAAACTGAATAAGGACCACAATCTGAACGAAGAGCTTGATTTCTTGGTATGAAAGACCTTTGTTGCTTTGCTAGCATTTTTATCCATAGTGCCATTTTATTAACAAGTTTTAGAAACTATCAACCTTCAAAAAATTTGTTCATTAAAATGGTCACACACTGGCACAGTGGCAGTATTATTCAACCATAAAAGTATAGAATTTAAGTTTGCATTTTCAGGTTTTGAAATTTTACATATTGTCCTACCTATTTAGACTAATCAGATTTATTTCTTTCAAAATGCAGAAATCAAAAAATGGGTGCTATTTTTCACAGTGATTGAAACACGTTTATATTTTTGCATATGCTACCACCATTCTTTTTTTTTTAAGTTTAATTAATTTTTTTTTTTTAGTAATCTCTACACCCTTCATGGGGCTCGATCTCACAGTCCTGGGACCAAGAATTGCATGCTCTTCCGACTGAGCCAGCCAGGCACTCTGCTACCACCATTCTTAATATCAATATATCAATAGCTGTTTACAACAACTATGATTAAGGAGTACTTTGGGAAATAGTTCACTTTAGATGCCATCTACAGATGAAAGCATCACCACAGAAAAGAGATGGTCATTATGTGACTTAATGGAGGTGTTAGCTAATGCTATGGTGGTGATCATTTTGCAGTACAGAAGTGTATCAAATCAGCATGCTGGACAGCTTAAACTTACACAGTGTTATATGTCAGTTATATCTCAATAAAGCTGGGAAAAAATAAAGGCAGATAAAACAGGAAAAATATGTTATAAAAAAGTGAAAATGTGATCTTGGTATCTAGGTAGTTACAGAGTTACAATCCAACTGGATCCCACCATAAGAAAAGGTGATTAATTAATGTAATTTATTTTTTAATAGTAGTTAATTAGAGAAGTCTATCATATTTCTAAATTATTAAAAATTGGCATCCTGCGGCGTCTGAGTGGCTCAGTCGTTAAGCGTCTGCCTGATCTCAGGGTCCTGGGATCGAGCCCCACATCGGGCTCCCTGCTCCGCGGAAAGCCTGCTTCTCCCTCTCCCACTCCCCCTGCTTGTGTTCCCTCTCTCGCTGTGTCTCTCTGTCAAATAAATAAATAAAATCTTTTAAAAAAAAATTGGCATTCTGCAATAAATTCATAGCATAACCATTCAGCTTTGAGAGAGAAGAAAAAGTCCAACATGGTGAGGGCTCACAAGTTTCTTGTAATTCATTATTTTTTAAATTTTAATAAGTAACCATTGACATCTCACAAAAGGCTAAAAATGCTAGTCATTATGGAGGCAGAAAGCCAAATCAAACATTATCTCTGCTTCTAAGAAACCTAGAAAGGAAGATAAAATACATAAATAACTGTTCACAAGGGATAAAGGGGAAGTTCCTTAGAAAGTGATACAGTGACCAGTGTCTAACAGAGGCGATGTTTGTTGAATGATAAGCTCAGAAGACAAGCAGATACTGTCCAAGTGGGGGAGTCATGGGACACCTCGTGAAGGGATTGGCAGCTGGACTTTGAAAACGAGTAAAATCTGAGCATAGGGAGATGAGAGGAGAGCCCTCAGTCCATTCTGTCGTTCATTAGTAGTTTCTGTGCTTCGGGCATAAAAGATAACGTGAGTGGACCTTTGTCTTCCCAGCGGTGGGAAGCTTCAGTGAGAAAGAGGACACAACTAGAAGCATGTCAGACACACTATGTCATTTCTAAAATGGGCTGCAGTCTACTTGTACAAACTGTCTCTCAGAGAAACCAAATAACTGATGAGGGAGGCAGAGCTCGTCACTGAAAAGGTAAGCTACTAAAAGCAGAAGAGAAGAGCCATCTTTTGGGAGCAGTTATAATGGCTGCTAAAACCTTACATTTAAGACTGAGGGGGAGGTTTTTTTTTGAGAGAGAGAAAGAATTGGTGTGTGTTTGGGGGGGTGGTGGAAACAGAAGGAAAGGGAGAGAGAGAATTCCAAGCAGGCTCCACACCCAGCACAGAGCCTGATGCGGAGCTCGATGTGGGGCTCAGTCTCACCACCCTGAGATCATGAACTGAGCCGAAATCAAGAGTCGGACGCTTAACCGACTGAGCCACCCGGGCGCCCCTGAGGGGGAGCTTTTAGTGAATGGGTCAAACTGACAAGCACCTGAGCCTGCTAATCAATCTCAAGCCGCTAAAGATGAGACATGCACACCTGTGCCCCCTGATGTGATGCAGGAGGACACACACAGCAGATCTATGAAGTCTTCTCACCAAAACAACCGGATCCGAAAGCAGGCTTCAAGACCAAACTACCGTGACTGTAGATAAAGAGACATATTAGATGACACCATGATAACAAATCCAGAGTGTGGAAGATTCTCATCAGTAAACACATGGTGCAAGAAAAGGGAGGGAGAGGAAAGGGATAACTAGTATAGACTAAAGGACAGTGGAGACAAGGAACAAATCAACGAAATGCAGTTTGTGACACCTGTGTGGTCCTGATTTGAACAAACCTACTCTAAAAAGGTATTTGTGAGATAGTAGCAGAAAAAGGAACATAGTCTGGGTATTAGATAATATTAAGTTATTGTTAATTTTAATACCATTGATATCATTGTTTTTATTTATTTTTATTTTTTTAAGTTTTATTTAAGTAATCTCTACACCCAATGCGAGGCTCAAACCTAAAACCCCTGAGATCAAGAGTCACATGCTGTTCTGACTGAGCCAGTCAGGCACCTGGATATCGTTGTGCTTTTAAAAGCCCTTATCTATTACATATTGAAAAGTATTTATGAGTGAATTAATAGAATGGGTAGGTTTGCTTTATTTTTTTCTCTTAAATTCAGTTAATTAACATATAATGTATTATTAGTTTCAGAGGTAGAGTTCAGTGATTCATCATTCTTATATATCACTGGGTATTATAATACCCAGTGCTCATTACATCACGTGCCCTCCTTAATATACATCACCTATGATTAAGAGTCTCTTATGGGGCACCTGGGTGGCTCAGATGGTTAAGCGTCTGCCTTCGGCTCAGGTCATGATCTCAGGGTCCTGGGATCGAGTCCCGCATCGGGCTCCCTGCTCCT